AACTACTAATAGACACACACACCTTGGTGCATCGCATTGGTTGTATTTATAGGCGTTGGAAAGTTTTCTAGAAAATTCAGATTACATAACAATTCTGAGCTATACTTAAACGTTTACATATATAAATATATGGTTGATTCTTATTCTCGAGCATCTTCTACAACTTTGGAGAATAAGCGGGAGTTTCGCAGTACATATATAACACTACGAGCTATGCATGTTTTTAACAATGTTCATATTAAAATAAATATATAACAACAAATTAATTACATTACCATCCAGGTAATTTTTCTATCTCACCTTAAAGCTAATGTACAAAGTTTGGAATAATTTTAATTTCTCCAGCAATAATGTGTATAAATTGTTTGTAACTTACAAAAATTGATCAAAAATACAGTTGTTCAACAGTTTTCTATAGTAAAACTGCTTAAACACTGAATAGAAACTGTAGTATAATTTTACATTTCTCAATAAAAATTACTTCAATGTAGAAATATTTCATCATTAGGTTAAAAATCAGTTTGTTTTATACTAAAAGAATAGTTCAACAATTGGCAGTGGATGGTGTTGACTAGCTGCCTTCCTTCTAGTCTGTCAGTTCTAAATTAGGATGCTAAATTCAGGGGTTTGATTCCCCTTGGTGGACACAGCATATTGCCCGATGTGGCTTTGCTATAAGAAAAACACACATACTCTAATTAGGGACAGCCAGCACAGATAGTCTTTGAGTTATTTCTCATACTTTTAACATAACATAGTAATAGTGAATTTCTTTTGTCACAAAACATCTTTGCTTGGTTTATTAAAGCTAATCTAAAGCACTTATTATCGTTCTTGAGGAGCTCTAAGTATGCTTATAATAAGTTTAATATTTTTGCTTTGAAACAAAAAACACTTAGGCTACTAAGTCAAATTTAACAACTCTTAAAATTAATCAATAATTAAAAGAAATGTTCTAAAATGCATGAATAAGAGCTTAGTTTGATTTTTTTCTGCTCAAGTTTATCTGATAATCTTTTGTAGTTGTTTTTCATTTTCATTAGGTGTATTGTACAAGTTTTTATGATTTGAGTAATGATGATCCTAAGTATTTTGATTTCCATCATTAGCAGTTTATGGCCATCTGGGTTGGGAAAAATAAATTGTTTGTAGCAACCTTTAATGTGTTTTTTTATGCCATTCAGTACTGGTTGGAGGGATCATATTGCATCATATTTAGTAGTTTTATGTTACAACACTCAGTTAAAGAACTGATCAAACACATTGGGTGAAACCTTTCATAAAATACAGAGAACCACAGTAGTAGATATTGGGATTCATTGCAATATTGACAGTATTTAAATTTTTTTGCATGATTCAAATGTAACTAATATGGATCAACAATCAATTTGGTGCATAAATAGTTTAAAAAAATATTTTTCAAAGCCAATGGGGTCCACATGGCCCTCCATTATCAATTCTAGAATAGGGATAGATAATGTTTTACTCTTTCTAACCTATTCAAAAATGTTTATGGTGAATTTTAATCATCGGAGACAAGTATGTTGCAGGTCTATAAAAGTGACTATATGTCCAGTAATATGAAAAGATAAAAAAAATTCACAGATATTCCTATTTATTTAGTCTCTCTAGAGTTATATCTAAAGTTGTATTTTTACATCTAATTCTAATTGTAATTCACATCTAACATAGATTTATATTTATTAAATGAGATAACTCCTAAATAATTTATTCTTCATGCATGTAGCACTTCAAGACCAGCAAGTCACATAATCAAGTTAACTCGACTTCGAGTGGTAGACAACAGTGCCCTCGGAAAGCAAGCCATGATGGATGGGAAGCCTCCTAGGTGTATTCATGTGTATAATAAAACAGGAATTGGAACAGTTGGTGATAAAATACTTGTAACAATTAAAGGCCAAAAGAAAAAAGCTTTGATTGTTGGAGTGCGACAGAGACAAAAGTGTTTTGTACCAAGGTTTGACTCTAATAACATTGTTCTTATTGATGACAATGGAAATCCTCTAGGTACTAGGGTTCATGTCCCAGTTCCATCCATGTTAAGAGGAAAGAAAGAATTTTCAAAAGTTCTTGCTCTTTGTACAAGCTTTGTGTAAATTGGGTCAAACTGCCAAGTTGGTTGTGTAGAATTTTTACATTAATGTATTGAAAGAACTCTTTAAATAAATAGTAGTTGTAAATTAACTTGTCAGAAACTGTTGGTCACTTGTATTTGAGTTCCGAGAAAAATCCCTCACTTGAAATAGTAATGAAATAACAGAAAAAGAACTTTTAAACTAAATGTTTGTTACATATTGTTTATTTAATGTTTAAGAATCTTTATTTAAAAACAGCTTATCAGAGTCAAGAAAGAAAAAAAAAAAATATATATATATATATACATAACTTGTGTTACATATCTTTCAGGGTAAAGTTTCTTATTTCAATTGAGAAACTTAATTATTTCTGTACTAGTAATATGTTTGAGTAAGTGACATATCCTGGTGATAAGCAGGTTAAGTCCTCTCAAGACCTACATGGTAATGAAAATGTAAAAAAAACCAGTATTAGATGAACAATAATAAAGTGTTTTGTGTGATTGTTTTTTCTTTTTTTTCAATATACATTCGTACAAGTAATAGTGGTAATATAGAAACAGTCATACTTAGATGAGTCATATTTATAAGCATATAAACATATTTGCATACCTGTACTAAAACGTGTAATATCGTAGCTTCAGTTAAATAAGTCAAACGTAAAATATTACAACAACATGGAAATTTTTGGAAGTCTCATATTATGGCTGATATTTATAATATATCAAAAATGGTACTTCGCTTTCTCACATCAAGAGTTATTTATCTAGAAATAATACCTTCAACTTTGCAAGAAAATTAGGGAAAAGTTCCCCCTGATCTATGGAAAGAAAAACGCTGCCTTATAATAATACCGTTAGATGGTTCAGATTTTGGTCTTTAAGTTCTTCCAAATGATGATAATAAATATACAGATGTATTTGTTTCAATTAAATAAGTGTACCCTATCCATTAGAAAATATTTAAAAAATCCCATAGCTTGTAAGTGATAATTACTGTCGGGTAAGAGACAAATTGATTTATACATAAAGGACAATGATCACAAAGAAAAAAAGTCATTTTTATTTTAATTCGATATAAAATAGAATACTACCACTTGGATGATGATGATTATTACAGCATGTTTGGTGGGACGGGGACTCGAACCTGCGACCCTCAGATTGCGAGTCAAGCACTCTAAACACCTTATCTTTGTATGAGCATTAACCTCATATCTTGTTAATTTCGGTCACCAAACTAGAATACGTATAGCTTTCTAATATGCATTTTAGAACATAAAAAATGTTTCACTCACTAGAATGCTCAAAACTACTATACTTAATTTGATTTTTTAAGTAAGCTATAAATAGGTTAAAATTCCTTTAGATGTGGCCTGATGATTAGATTCTCGCCTCGCAATCTGCGGGTGTGAAATTATTTTAGTGCAGGAAAAATCCAAAACTGACTCAAAATATTTTTTTTCTTCTTCTTTTAAAGTAGTCAAATACTAACTCCCATATATAGCCAATCCTAAATAATTCAAAAAATAGAAATATAACTTATTCTTACTTTAGTTATGTGTACAGTAAGTTTTAATTGAAAGCCTGTGAACAGAATAATAACTAACAGAGACCCGCTAAACATTTGCGGTCAAATTGTTGTCTTTGTTGTAACAGTACTTCTTTAGATACAGAATTTCTAAAATAACTCGAATTATTATCGCAGACACTGAAATCTAAAGTCCACTTCTGTTAGGCCTAACTTTATCAAGTACGGCCTTTATTTGATAGAGATAAATTAATAGTGTAACTTGTGTACGTTTTTTGCTTTAGTTTATTTAAGGCTAAACTTTACTGTACTTAATACTATCAGTAATTAAACGTATAATGTTATTCTACGACCTAACATTAGACCTTTTTAAAAACTTT